TAACCAAATTGATTTGGTTTTTCTTATTTCATTATTTTATGGTGTATATGTTGACATAGTTGTGTAGAATTTTAAAGCGATTATTACTTTATGAAAAAATATTTATCGTTCTTAGAACTCTGATAACAGTATTTACATAAATTATATTATTTTTTCTGAAGCTTACAATTAATTTTTGTAATTAAATTTCTTGTATAATTGACAACGGTTACGTATATTTTTTTTATACATTTGTATATTTTCTTCGTCCACGAAAATAACTTCTTATTGTCCTTAATGTCTTAACCCATTATCAAGTGATGATGTTAATTTAGAAACAGAAATTCCAGCAATATATGCTGTCATATGTATTAATATTTTTGTTGCTGAAATGTATTTTACTACATTCCATTGAACATGTTTGTATATGTCACATAGTACCAAATAACTGAGTATAAACAAAATTAATAACGATTTTTGGTGTCGGGTTTGATAGATTTTGTTTTTTGTAATACATATTCTATGAAAAAAAATAAGATTCTGAATAGCAGAATTCAGAAGGGACAACTATTGTATAGTTTTTCAAACTTTATGTTTAAAAGCCAATGGAAAATATAATGGTCAATAACGAACATTTTAATAAAAATAAAAACCTTGAAACATATTGGGTAAATTATTGAAATAACAATATGTTTGGTTTTTCTTGTGATAAGCGTAATTATTGAGTAATCGATTCAGATAATTTCAAGGAATTTAATATGAAAGAGATAAATGATGTAATATTCGATGGTTTATTATATTCATGTCCAGCATCAATAATAGAATTATGGATTAGGTGAAAATTTACAGAGAAAAATATAATGGTACTAATCAAATACCGGACGTCAATGTGTATTATAGTAATAATAAAATATTATAAAATTATGTACCTATTAAAAATACTAAAAATATAACAAATAAAATTGAAAAATAAATTATTTTACATGTAGTTTTATTGATATGTAAATATTTATGGCTGGTTTCCATTCAAACAAGCATTACCAGGAAAAAATATTATATTTTAGATTCTGAAAGAATCGACGAATGTATCATAATATATTCATAACGTAAATGATGTGAAAAATGATTAATTTAAAATAATTGTTCTCATTGTTCATAAAATAATAAATAAGCAGCAGTGTAAATCTCGAACAATTTATGCTGCAATACTATTTTTTAGTACATTTTATCTGTTGTATTCCATTGGTAAATTTTGAAATTACGTAAAAATTAATTTATCAAACAAGATTCCACGTCTTAAAATTTTATAAATTGACCTAAATAAATGATATTTGAAAATAAATATTTGAGATTAGAAAACATTTAATTAATTTAATTGTTAATTTAAATATTATAACTTCGTAGGATAATATCTTTGTTACGGGTAGCAAAGAAGGAGAGACATAACTTAGTATTTGTACAGATTAAAGAAAGGAATATGGCTCAAGGTCCCTAAAAATATCTAGAGTTCAATTATATCACATATATATATGATTATTTTTATTTTTATTTTGTTAAAAATATACATTATCTGTATTATCTGTTATATATTTATGAGTTAAAAATGTTAGTATTAATGTAATGTTTGAATTGTGTTTTCATATTTATTAGCATAATGTACTGACAATATATTTAAATCTTACTTTAGATGAATTACCTATTTATATTTGAATATGTATATTTTTTAAGGAGATTTTTTAATCTTATTGTCAAAATTATTCTGTGAAACAATCCATAAATCTTCATTGTTTAATCCACTGAAATAATCAGTTGATCATTTTTGTTAATAATTACAATTATAATCATTAATAAGTATATCATTAAATTTACCACCTAGAAATTTTAAATATGTTTTATAGCTAATTTAATTTTTAAATTTTAGTATTTTTAAATTAAAATAATTTAATATAATTTTTTCTTCCACATCCATTTGTATTTAACACGGCGTTCTCTATAGATTGACACATTTACTCTCATGCATTGAACTTCAATCTATAATAAATTTAATTCCCGGATTGATGTTATTTATGTATTTTTGTAATAGTTGTGAATAGGGATGATCAAAACAAGACCATGACCAAAACTTTCAAAATCTTGGTCTTAGTCTTGGTCTTGGGTACACGCCTTAATCATGATCTAGGTCTTGCAAATTCAGTCTTGGTCTTGCGCAAGACTCTTGCTATTTTCACAAAATATAAAAGAAACTAAATATCTACCTGTTATAGCTGTATAGGTTTTTTGCTTTGACTTCTAAGATGAAACTTAAGTCCAATATATTATATAGTATATTAATAATATAAAACAGTCAAACAATTTAATTTTTATCATAGATACTAGTTTAAAACTGCATTTTAAAATATTATATTTATATTATTTTACTTGTATTTGTATTTGCTGAATCAATTTACCAGCATAATTAACTTTGTAAGTTCCTATTACATTTATAATATATATCAATAGGTAATTACTAATTACTTATTATTGACCAATATAATATTTATAAAAATTGAATTGTTGTTTTTTTAATGTTCACTTTAACTAATAATAATAATAAAAAAAACTATATGATTTGTTTCAAATATTAAATTGCTTAATAATTATATTCGGTTTAATGATAATAATATGTATTATTTATAATTAACCGTTTATTCTTCTTTTATTTACCTGTGTCTAGTGTTTTAAGTGTCTAGTCTAAGTGTCTTAGTACTAAATGTTTAACGACAGTAATGAAATGCTGTATAAGATACTAGTTTAAGTACACAAGTACACAACCTACGAACGAAAATAAAAACGTACTTCCAATCAAAATTATATCTACTGTAGTCCATAATACCTTCCAGCAATTATTAGTATATTCGATTCAAAGTAGAGGTGTATTATGAATATCAGTCATAAATTATTCTATGAGCAAGACAACTTTCGACCTTTTCATCGATTTTGGAGAAAAAAAATAATTTTTCAGTAATTGCTAAGTATAAAACAACATAATCATGTTATTTTGTAATATTAATTTCAATTATTTCTTATAATTTTTTCAATAATTTGTCATTTCCTCGAATACTGATTAAATTTAATAACAATACAAATATTTTTTTATTATTTTCGTTATAACTTATTATTTAATGAAATATAGATAACTAATATGTTTTTTGGGGAAAAAAAAATTTGCGAGACTGAGTCTTGCAGTAATGGTCTTGGTCTTGTAGCTCCGGTATTCGTTTGGTCTTGTTCTCGCAAGCCTAATCTTGATCTTGGTCTTGGTCTTGATCTTGTAGCAAGAGTCTTGTGAAACCACAAGACCAAGACCAATTTTGATCATCACTAGTTTTGAAAGTATAGATTCTACACTAATGTATAATATTTACTTTTATGGTCTCAATTTACAATTTGAATAGTTAGAGTTATATCGACTCTGAGTAAAAATCCTTGGTTGTATTGGTTACCACAAATCACACTCATTTTAAAGCATTGCTAATTAATCATTGTATTTGAAAAACGATTATTAGCGATTATGAATTTTCAGAAAAGTATAGTAATAACTCTAAATAACAACTGTGTTATTTTAATTTAAAATGTAAATGAATGATATGTAAAATATTAAAAAATATTAAAAATTAGTATTAATAAATTATAAATAAAATCAATTTAGTAAATTAATTTAGCGTTTGATTAGTTACAAAAAATACGTTGATATTATTGACCTTATATACGAGTATATTGATCGATGAAGTGACAATACTATGTATATAATTAATTAAACTTAGATTAATAAAACGTTTGTAGAATATTTTTTCTTATTCTAAAAAAAAAAGAAATGACTGAACAGTGTATTTGATTGAAAAAACTTCCGGTTTCAAATTTCCAGTTAATGAAATATTTTGGATATATTTTTAAAATAAGGTTGTTTTTAAAAATATACTATTTGTGTAAATATTTAATTATAGCACAGTATTCTTATAATAATAAATATTTTATTTTATTTTTCTCAAAGTACAATATTATGTTTTAAAATCAATACATGCTTGGTGAAGAATAATATTTATTAAACCTTGTATGTTTTTGAATAAAATTCGTTATCGGATAGATAAACATGATTTTGGGGTGTTAAGTAAATAATCATTTCGTCAAATTCTGAGGGCGATTGATTCGGGTGTACAGTAAATACACTTATAATAGGAAGTGCATGGATAAATGGATTTGTCAGGAACGTTAGGGTCGTTATTATCTGATTTTTTTCTGTGAAGGTACAAATATGTGAAATGGGTACAAAATATGTCGAATATTTTTAACAAAAAAAAAGATAATCTTGGAATGCATATACAATATTTGTGGCAAACAATACAGCGAAAAAAGAATTCTCGATGTACGATTCGATTATGTATTTAATTGTTTAAAATAATTATCGACCGAAAATTAATTTTATAATTGAAGTATAATAGTAATTTACGTTGATGTAAGCAGTTTTGTTGATGTTAATGTGTTATTTCGTTATTTATGTGTATTTACTGTTTAGCATAAGAATGTAAAAAAAAAAAAATTGATATTACTCTATAGGTATACTATATACTATACATTGTATTAAATTTATTTTTTTTTTTTTTGAATTCAATTACAATATATATTTTGGACGGCTATACGTAATGATTTAAAACATTTACAGGACGCATGGGTTGAAACCGAGAAAACATTATCATAAATAGTCATAATAGTAATAATATAGAAATAAGTAAAAGTGGTAAACGTCAACGGGCATAAATGAGATTTAAATACCTAGTAAAACAGACAAAAAGGAATTAATTTTTTTTCTTTTTGCTGTGAAATGGTGTGATTTAAATACGAAATAAATAACATATTTTACAAAAATATTCCTAATAAATCCCGTTTTCTGTGTAATGCGAGCGACCAATGGGAACGATTAGTACTCCCAGGAGTCTTCGAGGAACCGTATAGTTATCGTTTTAGGTACAAAACGAACACAGCGCGCGGCCAGTCGGGTCAGTATCTTCTTGCGCGTCGACCCACTCACACGCGCGCCGCGTGTACCCACCACCATCATTTGTTATCGCGTATTCCAGTTGCACGTGCTTCGTCGAATCGTGTTCATATTGTTTGTTTAAATCTTTTATTGCAGTTAGTTTAATCGCCACTTTTTGTGTTGCTAATTTTGAAGTTTTTTATTATTGAGTATAAACATATATATATGGATTTAAAAAAAGAAAACGGAGTACATGAGGTGGAGCTGCAGATTGACGAAACATGAACTAGAAGCAATAGATAAACATTATACTATATAACGTAAGTTATTGAAAATATTAATTTTTTTGTTACAAATTAAAAACTCATAGATAAAATCAATAATATAATTATGATTAATTGATAATAAAGAGTTTTTTTTTTTAAATAAAAATGTTTGCCAGTCAAATTATAAAATTCGGTAGTTGAGTATTAAGTGCCATAAGAAATTCATAATATATGATCTACTTGACTTAAAACTATATCAATGATACATAAAACTACATTTTTATTTTATTAAAAAAACTCAATTATTATTTGATAGTAAAAAAGAAAGACATTTATTTTATTATTAATTAAAATTGTTTTTACATTCGTTGATATTTGCATTTTTTTTTCTGTTTAAAATTACTTTGTACGCGTTATACTGGAAAAATTAGAGCATGACCGTGTTCAATCTCATGTTTGGTGGCGATTAGTTGGCGGTGACTTTTTCTTTCTTAAAGATGTTTTATTTTCACGATTAAGTATTTAAAACAATCCCTGCAGGATTCTATCTCGGTAATTTTATTTTTTTTTTCATTCCTATAAGTTTAATATAATTATGATCAATTATCTAACTAACCTATTCTGTAAGGTTTATAATATATAAAATAGAAATATTTACATACTTAATTTCAGAGTCCGAAGTAATTATTTTACTAAATACCCTAATATTAATTTATTTATGCAATTAATTTTTTTGGCAATAACGGCAATAAGAGATATATTTTAAAAATATGTTGGCAACGATACTTAATTAATATCGGTAATTAATAAAACAAAATAAAATGATTTGATGTTTTTTTTTTAAAACGTTAAGTATTTTATTTTAATCATTCTATAATAAGTAAGTACATGACTTATATCCTACCTACATTTATACATTTTTTTCAATTTTTACTTAAATTTAAAGGTACATAATCAATTTAAAGAAATATGTATCTTGGAGTATAAACATTATTTTAATTTCACTACTGAAGATAAATCTAATTAAAATAGTTCGAAAATTGAGTAATGTATATATTACCTGAGTAATATAAACACTACCCATGTCTATTGAATAAAGTAAAAATATAATTTGTAAACCGTATATTTTGTTCATTATCTATCTTTGATTGGATAAAGTGTTTTGATAAAATAAAATACGTTAAAATATCAAGTGTACATTTTGAAAAAAACTTGTGCACTTGTTTGGCTTATTAAAGTTTGATTATTTAGTTTACTAAAATGTCTCCTTTAAATGATAAATTTTATGAGAGTTTTCAATAAATTAATTTATGGAAATAATAGGAATTCAGTGCATTTAACGGAATCAAAATATTATGATATATCAGCCGAAATAAGAAACGTGAATATAACCGAAAAAAAGATTAAATCAAAATAAACCATTAATAGATACTTTAAAAGTATCGGTTACAAAAAAAAAGCTTTGTGTAAAATAGCTAATGCACAATATTTTTCTGGTGGTCAAGTTTTAAAAAATGTTTGTTTCACAAATAAATATATGAGTAAATGTAAATTTGGGGGTTACTTTGAAACTCCAAATGCTACTTGAATTTGAACACTATTCCAATAAATAACTATATTTAATTTTTCAAATTTTTATATCTTAAATAATAAATTAATAATACTTAATTTATTTAATAAATAAATTGTTTTTGGATTAATATAATTTAGTTTTTTTTCTATCTCATACTTTTTCCATAGCAAACTGGATAATGTACATATTATACTGTTCAAATGGGTAAGATTTATTTTACTCGGGTAATATGTACACTATTCATTTTCGAAATCTACCCGTAACAAATACATCAGACTTAATTATAAATAAACAATTAATTTTTTCTTGTTTGTAGCTTTCAGTACTTTAGTTCTATCAGTCAATGAGAACATAATGTAATATATTATTTTTATACATGATTTTTAATTCATCAAATTTTATATTTATTAGTTTTTTTTTCTATTAAAAAGAATATATTCTTTGGCTTCGGTCGTCAACCTCCTCCATGTATTGTCACTGCGTTTAAGTCTCTCTCGAGGTACCACTCTATACTCTATACTTACATGAACAGATTATCTATACAGCGTTGTATTGAATGAGTGTTAAAAACTGAAATGTGCACCGAATTGATTTACTAGTCCCCTGAGCGTTACAAACTTAAATCAAGTACTTTTATGAGTCACGTATGATCACTTTTATAATTCGGTAAGACGACCTAAATATCTATACATTTTAACGAATGAAGGTCAAAATATATATTTTTACATTAAATATTTTATGGTACATAATATAAATATTACTAATATTATGAAACATGGAAACAGTTAGCGGCCGGTCAATCATTAATATGGATTATTCTAACTGTGAAATTATTTAGAAGAATTTTAATTAATGTCATGTAAACTGTATTATATGCATATATGTATGCTTTTGAGTAAAAAAACATATTGTCTTACTTTAAATAAGATCTTAAATGGATAACTAAAATACTTAGGTATTACGATTAGATAATAATAATAATAATAGTGATAATAATTGTGAATTCAGTTCAGTATGGTCTATATCGAGTACATTTTTTTTTACTTGACAATCAGCGGACGTGAGCGCGCATATGAGACTGTACATGTGTGCAAAAGGTATGTGTATAATGCTCATGACAATACTCGCATGCATCGGCCGGAGGTCGTCCTATAAATCAAGAGACATTCATGATGGCACCGAGAAGAAGCAAGTTAGAGATTTTGCAAATAGATAATATAATGCCGAACGCTGGAGGAGAAGTGAGGGGAGAGAAATACGGTCTGGACATTGTTCTCGCTGTAGGTCGGGGGATAAATGAACTCACGAATCGATATGTGCTCTAGAGATATTATGTTATTATTTTTTTTTTATTCTTTGATTATAATATATCCTTGTCCTTATTTTTACCTGAATAACAATGGGAGAACATAATGTACCAATAGTCCTTACTTAAGAATTATTGTAAATTATTATTTTTCGGTTTTCCTGATATTATTTCCCAATGTTATTTCCGGAAATGTGAATTTAATACACAATAGTGTTTCTGAAAGAAATTAATTCATATAGCCACAGAATAATAATAATAGAATCACATTCCTATACATATTTAAAACTTTATTTTTATGACGTGCATTTTAACATTTTCCGGGGATGTTAATGTTCTGCAGATTATTGTGTAATTAATTAATTATAAATAAAACCGGATTATGAGTCCTTTCAATATCGTTTTGTACATCCAAAATTCAAAGTAATTTCTTATTAATATTAACTAAAACCTGTTTGTTATTTTAACACTTACACTTTGATAATTAATAAAATAATTACATTTTTAGTATAATCCAAAGTCCGTGTATTTTAGTAAATATTAAATAATATCAAGGATATTTTTTAGAAAAGATAATTAAGAAATTTAAATTGTTCAGTACGATGTTTGTAAATATTTTCTGTATCCCTATCTAATAAAAATAATTTTAAAGTCAAAAAGAAGAAAAATAATTTAAAATGTTTAAACCAAAAAAACTAATCTCAGTAATTTTCGAAAACACTAATTTAAATTCTAATTTCACAATGAAATTCATTTTGCAGATAAATGCATGGCACATTTCCACGAATAATTATTATAATGTATTTAAAATATCCATATAATTACCTAATATATTTAGTTTTTACTGTACTTCTATTTATTGTATGTTTGTAGTTCGTAACCAAACAATATTATACGCATGTGATTTTTATTTTATTTCTACAAAAATTTATTATTTTCGTAGTATATTAGTTTATTACATATACGTTGGAACGTAAGTTACACCTTATACGCGGTGCATGAACTACGCAAAGGTTAATGTTCATTGTAATTTAATTGCCCACAATATCGACGACATTTGTTTGAATAAGATATTTTATAATATATTCGAAGACTTTATTATGGGTATAGCACTATAAATACAATAATTATTATATCACTCAACCATTTCAAACCATGTATAGCTCTTTTCGAAGACATTAAATAGAAAGAAAAAAACCGTTCCAAGTTTTAATAGCTTGTTCTCATTGAGTAGTATATGTTAATTAAATGCATAGAAAAACGGCTCTAAGTTTTTTACTACTAGTAAGAAAATAATTATTACTATTTTAACTATTAGTATATATTTTTATGTACTCATAGTTCTTGTGAAATATTTAATTCATTTAAAGTATTATCAAATTTTTACACGTAAAATATTTAAAAAAAGTTTTAGATTATTTTTACTAAATTTATTTAAACTGATAGTACTGAATTATTTGGGTAATAGCATAAGCCACCATTAGGTATAACTTGTAAACCTCTGTGTGTATTTATATTAGTTATGGTCCGCAGGATAATAAAGCCCAAAAAATTGAATTATTATTACACTATCAGATTTTAATATTAGCAATAAAATAATTTGACATTGGCGTTCACAATGACAAAAGTATAGTCTACACTATACTATATTTGTAATGTCATAGATACGTAATATCATTGATTATAAATCTATAGTGTTTATAATCAATGGTAATATAGTGTTGTGTAAACTTTTGGATTATTTTTATTTATTCAATGTATACTGCTGCGTTTTATAATGCATTGCACTTTTTAGAAGCAGCCCTTGAAATACTAATGGTACTTAGTAAGCCAAAATAGTATGTGTATATATATGTTTTAGTTTTATTTTATAATATCAGTGAAGCTGTACGTCCGTACATAATACATAGGACCTTACATACTCGTATATACGCACATGTACATACATATATGTTTATATATTTTTTTGTTCGATGAAAAACGGCCCAAGGCACGAAAAGTAATTACTTGTTGCGTTTAATGGCGACAATAAACATTTTTTTCTCTCTTACGAAACAATGAAATCGGATTCAATGAAAAGAGTTATGTAGAGTACTCCCTTATGTTATACAATACGTGTTATACATGCAAAACAAAAAACATATAATACAAATCTCCCGTCGGTTTCTTTTTGAA